ATTAGAAATTTGCATGAACATATAACACGAAACGTACTGAGTGTTCACCAAATTAGCAATGATTAATATTTGTTTCGTTAAAACGTTTAGAGTAAACATAATTTTAATTCTGTCAACAAGAATTCGATAAATCTACTAGTGCAAATGAGGCCAACTAGAGCGAAATTCTAAAAGTAACTCTACACATATTGTAACGAACCTTCAGATAACATATTTAGAAGAGCATTTGGCCAATTTTCTTTTTCAGGAAACGAAGACACTTCAGAGATACGGTTTGAATCAACGGTGATATTAGACATCCGTTTTGGGAAATAATCAGCTGTCTCCAGCTCCTCGACAGTGTTCCTTGCACTCCAAAACTGTTTCGTTGGGGTGAGGAACTCAGTTGGAACACATGAAAGAGAAGTTTTTATCAAAGACTTTATAGCTGATCCTGAAGCTCCACGTTCGATAAGTAACTAGTAAAGAACAAAATATTTTCACGGAAGTTACCGAATCATTAGTAGATTAAATTAATCAAGTAACTTTATCCATAATACTTTCATAATTGCTTAAACAATCAAACCTAAACGGTTGTTGATGTTAATTATGCAGAATCCTAACATAGTTTATTTCACTGAAGTATATTGGGTGATAAGGTTTCGACACTGCATCAACTGGCAAGGTAGGAGCATATTGCATTCGACCAAAAACCATGTGATTTTGTAAGAGAATGTCGGAGTGATGAGGTAAAATCCGAGGACAAACCAATTCAAGAACTGAACGTTTGACCTGAAGTGAGCTCGCTGAAGCGATGGAGAGCAGCAGGTCCTGATAGATTGACCCCTGAGATTTTTAAGGATGGTAGTTCAGTTTTAGCGGTTAGATTTACTGAGATTGTAGGTGGAATTCGGGAAATGGATGTAATCCCATCTGACTGGTCTCAGTCACTGATTGTCCCAATCTACAAGAAAGGACATAAGTCCTCTTGTGACAGTCACATGGGAATAGGTCTAACTATTATAGTTTCTAAACTGTTAGCCTCGATTGTCCTTAGACGCCTGACCAGAGCCCGTGAAGAGCAGACTGGAGAAAACTAAGCTGGTTTTGGACCTAGACGCGGATGTATAGACCACATTTTTACACTACGACATGTCCTGGAACATAGACACATCTGTAGGTGTCTGACAATAGTTTTCTTCCCGGATCTTAAAGCGGCATTTGTCTCTGTGACAGTGCCTATTATTGGAAGGTGTACCAGAGAAGGGCATTAACCTTATACAAGCTCTCTACTCGAACACGACTGGTCGAGTGAGAGCTTATGGCGAACTGTCATCGGAAATAGTTACTTCAGGTGGTGTCCGTCAAGGCTGTCCACTCTCACCATTCTTGTCGTAGATATGCTTTTAGAGGTAACATCATCATCTGACTCTTCAGAAGTAGACCTTTTACCAGGAGACTGGCTTAGAATATGCCGATGACATATTTCTATTCGGTGAAGACGCTGACAAAATGTAGAGTCTTCTGACTACCCTAAGCAACAATGCGAACATGTCCGGGATGCGGTTTTCCTCCTCGAAATGCAAAATGTTGCTTCAAGATAGGGTTGCATCGGTACCTGAACTAGTGATAGGACGTGAAGTAGTCGGGCGTGTTGATCACTTCATTTATCTTGGGAGTCTCATCAGCGCTGACGGCCTGGTGACTGACGAAATCTCAGCTCGGATACAGAAGGTTCGATTGGCTTTTGCCGACTTGCGTCATTTTTGACGTAGGCGGGATATCCGTCTGCTAACCAAAGGACGAGTCTGCTGCGCAGCAGTTTGCTCCATCCTGCTTTATGGCTGCGAAACATAGACAGTAAGAGTAGAAGATATTCGTAGGTTGCTGGTTTTCGATCATAGGTTTCTCCGAAGCGTTCCTCATGTATCTTGGGACTATCGACTAAACACCGTTGTTGTTAAGAAACCAGTACTAGGTTAGGATGGCAGATTAGTTGGTGAAATATTGAAACTTCATTAGTTGGGGTGGTTGGGACATGTGTGACATACGCGCAACCACTGATGCCTCGTCGAGCTATGTTTTGTGGTGTACGGGTAGGTCGGAATAAAGCTAGGGGCGGCCAAACCAAAACATGGCACAAATCCATGAAGTAACTGACAAGTGGATTGAGCCATGTTAGTAGATGTCGACTACCTGGTTGGGTTCCGCGAGATGATCGTAATCGATGGTTAGAGGCCTTGAACGACATGGCTCAAAATCGTTTGCAATGGCGCTAGTGCATCTACTCTTTGTGTTCTCTCTAATTCTATCCTTCTGAATTCGTCATATTCTCTATCTTTCTCTTTCTAAATTTATCTCACCGAATTATACTTCTTGAATCATATATTCGAAACCTAATCTTCTCCATTACTGCTAATAATTCTGTCACTACCCTTATTGGGTTTGAACTGACAGTTACGTCTTTTTGCTAATGTGGTATGGCAACCTGAACTGATGTACGTACGTACGAAGCTCCGTGTTGTAACTGACTGACTGATTGAGCTCGCTGCCACGATACATCAGAGCAAAATCTAATTTTAGGAAGCAACAAAATACATGGCTTAAACTGACGTTTAGGATCAGTACTGCAACAAAAGCCACCTTTTTATCGGAGCTTTAGTTATTCTCAAAAAGCTCATATCACTGCGCCACGATTTCTTTGCACTAAGCCGAGTATTGTCGTAGCTTGCTGACTGACGAGTGTCATGGTAGAACATTACATTAAATTTTTCTCCAGGGATAACAACCACAGATTTTCTACATGAATTTTGTTTCGACTGCTAGTATTAGATTGGCCAAGTTTCTATTGATCGCCTGCTAAACAATTGCTGAATAAATATTACAAGGGGTTAACCAATCAATCAGTGAAAATTTCGAGAAGCAATCCTATCTCCATGTCTTCACAGTTGTACGCTTTACCTGAGACCACTGAGTAAGCAATACTGTTTTTAAGAAAAGGTTACTTAATAGGGACGGCAGATCAATAGATGAAGTAGTGAAACTTCAGTTGAGGTGGTTGGGACATGAATTACAAATGCCTCGGCGAGCGATTATGTCTAGTGTATGGGTAGGCTGGAAGAATCCTAGGGGCGGGCAGACCAAAACATGGCACAAATTTAAAGTCACTGATAAGTGGACTGAGGCAGGTTGGTAAGGGTAACCTGCCTGGTCGGGTTCCGAGAGATGATAGTAACCTATGGTTAGAGACGTTGAATGACATGGCTTACAATCGTTTGCAATGGTGCAGGTGCATCCATTCTGTCTTCTCTCAACTTCTAATTTTCTGAATTACTCATGTCCGTTTTTTCTCCATTTTTAAATGCTTCTTCAGGGATATACTCCTCGAATAATATCTTTAATCACTAACATTTTTGATTACCAGTAATACTTCTACTACTATGGGATTTGAATTAACGATTGTGTCTGTGTTGTGGTATGGGAACTTGAACTGATATACGTACGTACGGAGTTCTAAGTTGTAACTGTATGACTGACTGCAAGCTTTACATAAGTTTTATAAACGGCATACCGCTTTATTGCATTTAGTGTCAACTTATGAAAACTGCATATGCATCTTTGAAGAATTTATGTAGCATGACCGAACCAACCCGGTCACAGAAACTTCATTTTAAAAGACAATATTAGCTTAATTAGAGGTGGAGTTTAAGGAAGGAATTAGACAATTTAGTAACTCTTAGTGACTCAGAAAACAGGTTAGAGATGGAACTCGCTAGATTTAACATTAACTCGTAATTACATAATAGTTAGGTCATACGCACATGGAATAATTGTGGATTAGAAAAATCGGTGTCAGAGAGTGAAGTGAGATGAAAAATCAACTTATTTGCATATAATCAGAGACCAATGGATTTTGATACAAGACTGAAGAGATAACAGTTTCAGTAAAAAGAAGTGATGGGTGACACGATGTAAAGAGGTGAACGCATGGCAATAACACAAAACACTTTTGTACATCTTACCTGATTAGGAGGATAGTGGGATAAAAACGTACGCAGTCGGGAATAGTGACGATCATCTAAAAACTGACCAATCTACTTTTTGCTTTATAAAACTGAGAGCAACTTACATTGATCTTACCAGTAGATGCATTTAATAGACCTATTCCGAAAGCAAAAGGATGGCTTTCATTACCCTGTGATTCTACGACAGCGAGTAGAAACGAATCAGGACAAGCAGAATTTACTAGGTCTCTAAAACTTTCGTCGTCAGCTTCAGCGTCACCAATCACTAGCGACTTCACATCAGATATCTCCGATCGCGTACTGGCCGTGCAAGTACCTGGGGTGATAAGTTGACATACTTCTCTTCGCACAACTTTTTCACTTGAAGATTTTCCTTTACATCGTTCAGTCATAGCATCGATTGACTCTGTTTGTTCAACGCGAGCAATCTTATAGCCCTTGATTTCAAATAAAATGAGGAACTCGAAAACCTACTTTACGGACAAGTTGATCGGCCATACGAGGGAAGGCGACTTCAGGAAATCCGCAATGCGCAAAGCTCCCCCTCATAAACACCAAACCAAGCTCTTTCACACCAATCATGGCATCCATGTGATACATTTCATAAAACTTCCCAACCTTAAAAAACAGAATTACGTCGGTGTATCGGGACTTTAATTCCCACCACTGGCGCATACCAGGAGTTTGTTTGGTCTGAAACGCTGAATTAAGGAATCGCATACAAACCTTAAATTCTTCAGGGACATATAATGTGTGTGGATCATAGTCGGGGTGATCAGGTCTCCGACCATTGATATCTTTAATTTTAGAGGGTTCCAAAAATGGAAGACTCAAGTGAGTCCATGAAGCATTCTCATCTTCAAAGGCTTCGCTTTCAAGCTCAGCTCCACTTATCTCCAGAAGAGATTTGTCTGTCGTTTTGTCTCTTTTTTTGTCAAACTGTTTAACTGACTGTGGGGAGAATGAATAATTTGACAGCTGGTACTAAAATAACAAGTCAGTAACACCACTTACATCATGTTTGTTTCCGGCCTCTTTTGTACCTGTCGACGCCATAGAAACGTCGCACTCGTCATCACTGGACTCGATGATGACCCGTCGTCTTTTGCCAGCGGATAAATTGCTAGGACTAGACACAGTCTAATAAAAGATTAAACAAGTTTGAAGCGTAGAACATTACTTCGCCATATGCAGTAGATGATTTTTTGTACACGGCTGAAGAATTTGGGCTTTTCACAGCTTCTGGGCACACTTTGTTTGAAGTTTCAGATAAAGGCTTAGGGGAACGTGTAAAGAAATTTAGAAGGTTTTTCTGCATTTTGCAAAATATTGGGTCCAATAATCAGGTACAAAGTAAGCCCTCGAGTAGTTAAATGGGTAATTTACAGACTGGAAAATATAATGGGGCCATTATAAGTTGAAACTAGTCAAAAATATGCAAAATTACACTAAAAACCAAAAAACCGCGCAATTTGTACAACCTAAGTTAGCGCAGGAGTGCAAGGTCTGTTACGTCGAGGAAGAGAAACGAAAGTAAAGGGCGTAATGTCAAATGTACTATACAACTCTTGAATGTAATTCTTAGTGACAAACATCTGGTGTGTATATAATAAAAGTTTCTAAGTCGCGTTTCTACCAATAAATTTATTTCCAATGGATCAAACATTTTCATGACATGCTTATGTCATGTGGCTCCCATAACGAATATATTTTACACGAGCTAGTATACTCCAACTGATTTATATGAGCTTGCAACTTGCTATCTTGATATGGTTACAGGCATTTGGTAATGCCACTCGACTGCACTGATCCTAGTCAATTGGCAGTTATTCTTTAATTTGTACGTCCCATGATATGAGCGCGTTTGTTTCCGGTCAATAGAGTTTTGGAGTAACAGAAGCTATCAAATTGTTATGGTAAAGATCTGTTATTTGCAATATAAAGAATAATAAGATGAAAATTCTAAGGCTAACAAATAGATGGTGTTGAAATCTGAGAACTAAGTAAATATGTCGGCAAGTTAACTAGTTGATAACGAAGATTGTGTGAGAGGATTGAAGTAAAAACATGGGAGGCATTCGAGGTAATAAGTGATGCAGAGTAAGTTTATGAGCCGAGGAAATGGCAGTAACAACAACAAGTGAGTTTCCAGAATGAATCAGGCACAGTTCATGCAATAATGAGATTATAATCCGTACGTGGGTTCGTAACTCCGTCCGTTCGGGACTACTGCCGGTCGGAAGCCCGGATAAAGGAGGAGCGGTTGGACATGGGGTTGGCGCCCCCATTCCAACTATGAATTAACTTGCCAAAAGAACGCTAACCAGAAAAGATAAATCAAACCATCTTAACTCTGCCCTGGGAGTTGGAAGTAGAATTATGACGTCGCGTGATGAAAGCCGAGTT